ATGTAAACTAAACTTAATGTAGCAATCATTTCACAATATACACAACTGTCGAATCATGTTGCACATCTTAAACGTATCCAATATTATGTCAATTATATCAATAAAACAAAAAAACTACTGGATGTAACTATTTCTCTGTGTAGTTGGAAAATGCACAGTAGTATTTTGTTGATAAAATCAAAATAGAACATTCAGTACAGTCCTTTCTGTTTCTCTCCTCTTTGCAAGTTTAAAACATTGAAGAAAAAACTCTAACATTCTCTTAATTGAATGGAAGTTGTTGGCTGAAAGTTTTGAGAATGGTGCTAGGAAGGCTTTGAAAGATAATTTGTTTTATGTCACAGAGCTCTTCTCTTTTTAAAATATATTTTTTTGATTTTTTACAGAGATGAAGGGAGTGGGATAGTTAGAAACATTGATCAGCTGCCTCCTGCACACCACCAACTGGGGATGCACCCACAACCAAGGTACATGCCCATGACCGGAATTGAACCCGGGACCTTTCAGTCCCCAGGGCGACACTCTGTCCACTGAGCCAAACCAACCAGGTCGTTGTTGGGTGGTTTTTGTTCATTTATCAGTTCAGTGTTTTATTTCATGCCATTGTTCTCCGCAGTATTTTTCTGCCTTGAAAACCCCTAATGATCTTAGAGGAGCTGTCCTTTCCATGAGGAATTATTTTTTATATGTCCTTAGATAGTATTCTGGGACACATGATATTTTCATTGTTTTTTATCTGTTCTCATGTTTATATTCATTCTCCTCAGAATTCGTGAGCTGCTTGCACTTGTATGTTGCTTTCTCCAATTGTCAGGATCTTAAACAATTTTTTATGTAAGTTACCTACTGCTTTTCACTATTCTGTCTCTATGGGGTCCCCTTGGTAGCCGATTTGTTAGTATCTTAGTAGTTCCTTAAATTCTGATCACATTTCCACATGTTTGTTGGATTCTCTGAATCAAAATGTGAGTGAATTATAATTGTAACGATTTATATACAAATTATTTGATTATTTAATTACTGTGTTTTAAATGTATGTTTATTGATTTCCGAGAAGAAAGGAGAAAGAGAGAGAGAGAGAAACATCAGTGAAGAGAGAGAATCATCGATTGGCTGTTGACTAAATGATCGGGGATTGAGGCTTCAACTCAGGCCTGTGCCCTAATGTGGAACCAAACCGTGACTTTCTAGTTCATAGGTAGAAACAACCACTGACCCACCGCTTTCAGGCAAATTCTTTGATGTTTTGAGTTGATCATGTCTTTCATGATTCTACAGTATTTTTCCATTAATGTGGTGCCAGTTTGATTACATTTATTTTGTTTTCCTGATGGTACACTTTTTCTGTTTTTTTTTTATGATTCCGGAACTTTTTTTTAGATTTCCGAAAGGGAAAATAGCAGGGTTTTTAAAATGCTTTTTATAGGGGGGCACTGATAAACCTCTCTGGGAAAAAATTTACTTTTGGTT